CATCATCTCCATAGCAGGCTGTGCCCTGACAGGTGGGCCATCTGGTGCACGAGGCTCACGGCTGGAACAGCCCACGGTTGTCGTGGCCCCTGGGGGCAGGCGGCAGAGACCCCAGCTACCACAGATGACCAATTGGATGATCATGGGAAGAGTAGAGATGGGCAAGGTCACTTTCTGGGGACAGCAGGTGGAAGGGCTGGGGGCTGCCAGATGTGGAATCAGTCCTGTGCTGGGAGGGGCCTCAGGGATCATTGACATCAGTGTCCTCTTTGGACAGACGGGAAATTGACGCCCCAGGCAGGTGCAGGGTCATCTGAGGCAAGTTTCGTGAGCGGCAGAGCCAGCTCTCTGAGTGACTGTCCAGTTGGCCCAAATGTGAGCCTTTTCTTTCTGGTCAGGGTGAAGCACTGGTTTGGAAAGGAGACAGCCTGTCGGGAGCTGGTGGCTGGTCTTGTATAGCTGATGCCACCGTGAGTGGCAGAGCCAGCTCTCTGAGTGACTGTCCAGTTGGCCCAAATGTGAGCCTTTTCTTTCTGGTCAGGGTGAAGCATTGGTTTGGAAAGGAAACAGCCTGTCAGGGAGCTGGTGGTTGGTCTTGTGTATTTGATGCCAAGTTGCTGCTTTGCTGGTCGTTTTGTGGCCTACTCTGGCCACGGCCATGGCACTGTGGAGGCATGCCTCTTGGATCTCTCCTGAGGAAAGAACTGGTGCCCAGCAGCAGGAGGGCAGTTAGCTGGCAGCCTCCGGTTATCATACCTCCAGGGGCCATCTCGGCTAACTTCGCACTGGCTCAGCAAGGTACCAGGGCCTGGTTGTTCCTGCTCAGTGTGGGCTTCCTTTAAGAGGCCATCACTGGGAGCCAACAGGTGGCATGGTGGTTAGGGTGCTAGACTCCCACATGGCTGACCGTGGTTTGAGTCTCAGACCTGGCACTTGCTTTCTCACTTCCCTCTCTGTCTCTCTCTGGTGAGCACACATGCCTTACAGCAAATTAAAAAGAAAAAAATAAAATAAAGTAAAACAAATACTTTTTTCTTCTTTCTTTTTTTTTAGAGAGATTTTTGCTATAGGGCATGTGCACTTGCCAGAGAGACAGAGAGAAAGCGAGAAATCACCCCCCAGGGGGGATGGCCATGCCTCAATCCGTTCTCCTCCAGTTTCCTCTCGGGTTCTTGGGCACGCACGCACACATGCCTGGCGTAAGTTTCAAGCCACTGGGCCTGGGACCCAAACCATGGTCAACCATGTGGGAGTCCAGTGATGTACCATTACCATCTGCGGGTCCCACATAAATAATTCTAAAAAAAAAAAAAAAAAAGGCCGTCGTTGCTCCAGAGCTCCCATTGTCCTGTTGGAGACTCTGCACCACAGCCTGAAGGTTTCCCTAGTCCTGCTTTCTCCACCTCTTACCTTTCACTGGTGTTACTCATCCTTGCCTCAACCCCAAAATAGATCTTTTGTTTTTTTTAAAAGAATTATTTAATTTTGGGGGCCAGCAGGTGGCATGGTGGTTAAGGCACTAGACACTCACACATGGCTGACCATGGTTTGAGTTCTGGACCTGGTGGTTTGCTTTCTCACTTTCCTTCTCTCTCTCTTTCTCTGTGTCTCTCTCTCTGGTCAAATTAAAATCAATGAATGCATAAATAAAATTAAAAGAATTATTTTGATTTTATTAATTATTATTATTATTGCTATTATTTTTCAATTCACCAGAGAGAGAGAGAGAAAGTGAGAAAACAAGTCGCCAGGTCTTGAACCATGGTCAGCCACATGGGAGTCCAGCACATTAACCACCATGGCACCTGCTGGCCTGGCTTGATCTTTTCATGTTTTGTTTTGTTTTTTGAGAGATTTTTGCTATAGGGTACATGCGCTCACTGGAGACACACAGAGAGATAGAAAACTAGAAATCGCCCCCCAGGGGGATGGCCATACTGCAATCCCTTCTCCATTCTCCTCTTGGGATTGTGGGCATGTATGTATATGCACCCAGTGTGAGTTTCAAGACACTGGGTCTGGGACTTGAACCCTGGTCAACCACATGGGAATCCAGCTTCTTAACCACTATGCCACCTGCTGACTCCCATCTTTTCCATTTTTAACTCCACCTCCAGGTCTGCTGGGGGTGGTTGGGGGCCTAGGGCTAGCAGTGTAGGTGGTTAGTCAACTCCTCAGGCCCCCTTTACTCTCAGACTACCTTGATGCGGATGCCTGCTTAGTGGGTGAGGATGTCATTGACAGCATCCCTGAAGGCCCAGCAGGGGAACAAGGACAGAACAAGGCCCTGGTTGGGAAGAGGTCAAGAAAGGGCCATTCCAATTCAAGGCAGCATGGGTCTGTGGTTAAGTTCTGGAACCGGGCTGGTCCAGATCTGCGCCACTTCCTAGCTGTGTGACTTGGGTGTGACACAGCGTCTCTGGGCTCAGCTGCCTCGCCTGCAAAGTGAAGACAGTGCCTCATTCTCTGGGTAGCTGTAACGTATTGAATAAATGAATGTGGCAGCCACTCTCAGGAATTAGGAGCTGTGCTTAGGATTTACGACCTGTAAAAGGTCATGGGCCCTGGGGCCTGCTCAGGGCCTGGGACCCCTGCCCCCAGCCCCAGCCGGGTCTCCTCCCAGCACCCAGCATGGTGCCAGGGGTGTGAATGCTGCAGATGCTGGCTGGTACCTGGCAGGCAGTCTTCGTGATGGTCACAGGGCTCCCCTTCGGCTGGAGATGTTTCGGTGTTTCTCTGGGAACAAGAAAGTCCCGGTCAGAAGTGGAGACGGGCGGAGCAGAGCAATCACGCGCCAGGATGCGGTGGTGTGAACAAGGCACTGCCACCTCTGCCTCGTTCTCTCTTCTCTAAGATGGGACCCACAGCAGTGCAGACTTAGAGATCTCACCCAGGTTACAATGAGTTGCGGGGAGCATTTGGCAGGTGGTAAGCACTTGGCAGCCTTTCCATCTGGAGTGTCAGATCCAGTCTAGACTCCATGCTTCCCTCACCCACACCTACCCTGTGGACAAGCACAGGTCAGACTGGGTTCACGGGGCCCCCACAGCAACAGCTGGGGGAGGGAAGGGAACCCAGGCTTGTGGGGGTCAAGGGGGTTGGGTAATGTGGAAGTACCTTTCTTTTTTGCAGAAGGCCAGACATCAGGTTTTAGGTCTTCGTAATCGGTCCAGTCGAACAAGACCATGTCCAGGGTGGGCATCACCTCTCCGTCGGGCCTGGGCTGTGCCTGAGAAGAGGGTGTGGAGGAGGGAAACTGCAGCTTTTCAGCCAATGGAGGCAGGAGTGTGGGGCCCAAGGACAGAGGGCAAAGGAGGGACTCCTTGGCCTGCTTCCTAGCCTGAATCCCAGCTGAGGACATGGAGGATCTCCCAGCAGCCACAGGTACTTTCCTCCCTGAGCAACCACCACCCGAGAGAGCTCATGCCCTGAGCCCTGATGCAAGCAGGCGAGTTGTCTATCAGGCCCCCCGAGGAGGGGCTGAGACCACCATCCCGGCTGGGAAGGCCATTGCCAAAAGTAGCCCAGCCGTCCACTCCTCTGCCCCTTCCCCTGCCCTGCAGAAGTTACCAGCTCAGTCCCACGCTCAGGCCCTGCCAGGGGTCTCAAGAGTGCTGAGGGTTAGAGATGATGGCTGTATGTGCCCACGGCCACCTGCTCACAGTAGTGCATGGGCAATCACCACACCGTCTGGGGCTGGGTTCTCTGGGTTTGAATCCCCGAGCTGGTAGAAATGAAACATGCCAAGCATACCTGTGTGTGCCCCAGATCCTGACAAGCAGAGGGCTAAGGGAAGGGAATCACAATGCAAAAAGACCTCGTCAAGGTGCTCTTCTCTCTTTCTCTCTCTCTCTCTCTCTCATGTGTGCACGCACACACGCACGCTCTGTCACGACTATAATGAACTTTAAAAAGAGTAAATTTAAACATTTCCCTTATACGTGATAAAGGATCCGTGTACATGTGCATGTGTGTGTATGAGAGAGGTGAGCACCTGCCACATGGTCTGGTGACACCATAATCCTCTTCCTTCAGTCCATCAGATTTTGAGCACTTGCACACACGTCTTGTGTGTTTCAGGCCAGCTGGGCCTGAGATTTGAACTGTAGTCACCATGCACATTACCACTGTGCCACAGAATTGGCCCCCAAAGTAACTTCTTTAAGTTTTTTACCATAAGGCATGTGCACTCATTGGAGAGGGCCAGAGAGAGAGAGTGAGAGAGGAAAGTGAGAAATTATTCCCCAGGGAGGATAGCCACACCACAATCCCTTCTCTGTCATTCTCCTCTTGGGATGTGAGTACATGCACACACACATGCCCGGTGTGATTTTCAAGCTGCCAGGTCCAGGACTTGAACAGTGATCCGTCATGTGGGATCCAGCGCCGTAACCACCACACCACCTGCCAGCCCCAGTATTTTGAAAAATATATATATTTAATGTATCAGTCCCGCTGGAATTATTTCAAAACTGATGCCAAGTAGAAGCACTACCTACCTGTTAAAATATGGCCTTATTGAAGAAATAAAGTATGTTTAAAACCTTCAAAAAAAAAAATCCCCAATTCTTATGAGTGGGCCAGCATGTGGCATGGTGGTTAAGGTGCTGGATTCCCACGTGGCCAACTGCAGTTCTAGACCCAGACGTGGCAGCTTGAAAATCATACCAGGTGCATGTGTGTGAGTGCATGCCAAAAATATTAAGAGGAGAATGGAGGAGAACCCTAAAAACAAGAGAAAAAAGTAATTTCTTCTGAGAAAGAGGAAGAGAGAGAGAGAAAAAAAGAAAGAGGTACCCCCCAATAGCTTTTTTTTTAACTTTTTTTTTTGAGAGTTTTTTGCTATAGAGTACGTGTGCTCACCAGACAGACAGAGAGACGGAAAGTGAGAAATCACCCCCCAGGGGAGATGGCCACACCACAATCCCTTCTCCTCCCTTTTCCTCTTAGGGTCTTGGGCACGCACACACACGCGCCCGGCGTGAGTTTAAGTCACCAGGCCCGGGACTCGAACCACGGTCAACTACATGGGAGCCAGCAACATAGCCATTGTGCTAACTGCAAGTCCCCCCCGCCATAGCTTTTTTACACTGTGATCCTTCCCCTAGCTTCAGTCAGCTAGGATCATAAGTATATGGTAGCCTTTATTGTTTTTTTAAGAATTATTTTTTATTTAACTTTATCTATCTATTTAAATTTGACCAGAGAGAGCGAGAGTGAGAGCAAGTGAGAAAGGATGACGCCAGGTCTGGGACTTGAACCGAGGTTGGCCACGTGGGAGTCCAGTGCCCTTAACACCACCTGCTGTCCCCTATTGGTAGATTTTAACTGGCATTTAAAGAACATTCTAGAGGTGAGCAGGTGGCATGGTGGTTAAGGCGCTGGACTCCCACGTGGCCAACCACATTTCGAGTGCCTGACCTGGTGGCTTGCTTTCTCACTTTCCTCTCTCCTTCAGGTGAGTGAATGTGCCCTATAGCAAATTAGAATAAGAGACAAGGTTCCACATGGCTACAGTGAACTAGATTTTTAAGGGAATGAAGATTTTCTACTAATAATTCAGCCTCCAACAAACGAGCTAGCGGCAGAAGGCAAATTAGAATAATAATAATTTATTTAAATAAATCACTTTTAAACAGTAATAAATAAATTAAAGAACATTCTACCCAACAGCAGAATTCACATTCTGGGTCATAAAAACAAATTTTAACATATGTAAAGTAATTTAATGTGTTAAAGTAATTTAATGTGATATTGCCAATTTATTCATTGGCAATATCTTTTCACACCTCATCATTCATGCTCTTCTTGGAGTTCTGGGCAAGATTTCGGGTTCAAGGCAACAGGTATTACTGAACTTATGTAAACGACCATTCCGCCACAAAATGAGAATGCTCCCAAATATTTTCCAATTCCAGAGGGGTCAGGAAGGGAGAAAAGTTTATGTTGCCATTTAAAGAAACAAACAAGAAGGAAAAAAACTTTATTTTTTGAGAGGTTTTTGCTATAGGGCATGTGTGCTCGCCGGAAAGACAGAGAGACAGAAAGCGAGAAATCACCTCCGGGGCTGGGGTGGGGTGGCCGCGCCATTAGGGAAATACAAGTTAAGACCACAGTGGGATACCACTGCGCACCTGTCAGATGGCTAATTTAAACACTAGTGACAACACCCGACGAGCACATGAGAAACGGGATCAGTCCCGGGTTACGAGTGGGAATATGAAATGGCACCGTCCCACTGAAAACAGTCTGACAGCTCTAAAAACTGCATATAATTAGACAACCCAGCAATTGCTGTCCTTGGGCGTACATTCAGTAAAACAAAAACTTGCCTTTACGCAAAAACCTGTTAATGAATGTTCAGTGGAGTTATATTTGTTTTTTGGGGTTCTTTTAGAGAGAGACTTTGGCTATAGGGCGCATGCACTCGCTGGAGAGACAGAGAGAAAGTGAGACATCACCCTCCAGAGAGAATGGCCATGCCACAATCCCTCCTCCTCCATTCTCCTCTCAGGATTTTGGCATGCACCCATGCGGCTGGCGTGATTTCAAGCTGCTGGGTCCAGGATTCAAACTGTGGTCAGCCATGTGGCTCCCACCTTAACCACCACACCACTCCAGCAGCCCTACAGCAGCTATATTTGTAATAAGCAAAAAAACACCAAAAACAAAAACCAGTCCAAATGTCCTTCAAGGGATGCGTGTGATATATCCACTTGATGGAATAATATTCAGCAATAAAAAGAATTACTGATACACAAATAATTTAGATTACTCTGGAGAACTATGCTGAATGAAAATAAGTCAGTTTCAAAAAGTTATGTAGTGGTGACCAGCAGATGGCATAATGGTTACATTGCTGGACTCCCATGTAGTCGACCACGGTTCAAGTCCCAGACCTGGTGGCTTAAAACTCACGCCAGGCGTGTTTGCATGCATGCCCAATATCCTGAGAGGAGATTGGAGAAGAAAGGATTGCAGTGTAGCCATCTCACCTGGGGAAGGCGGGGGGTGATTTCTCGCTTCCGTCTCTCTGTCTCTCTCTGTCTTTCTGGCGAGCGCATGCGCCCTATAGCAAAAACAAACAAACAAACAAAAAAACCTCTCCAAAAAACAAAATAAAACGGGTGATTCCTTCAGTGACGGAATGTGCTGTTCCTTGACTGCAGCAAGGTCAATACCTGGTTGTGATAATGTGCTTTAGTTTCTCAAGATGTTCCCATCGAGGCCACCGTCTCTCTCCAACGCCAGCGCCACCTCTAGTTCGCGGAGCTCCAGCCAAAGAAGGGGGGGTGGGTAAGTGAGGAGGTCTCTTTACCATGGCTTGTACAAAGCAGGCAGCCCACAAACCCACCGGTGGTAAAGTACCCAAGAAGCAACTGGCTACAAAAGTCGCTCTCAAGAGTGCGCCCTCTAGTGGACGGTGAAGAACCATCATCGTTACAGGCCGGGTATTGTAGCACTCCCTGAAATTAGACGTTAGCAGAAGCCCACTGAACTTCTGATTCGCAAACTTCCTTTCCAGCGTCTAGTGCAAGAAATTGCTCAGGATTTCAAAACAGATCTGCGTTTCCATAGCGCAGCTACTGGCGCTTTGCAGGCAGCAAATGAGGTCGACTTGGTTGGCCTTTTTGAAGATACCAACCTGTGTGCTATCCATGCCAAATGTGTAACAATTATGCCAAAAGACATCCAGCTAGCACGCGGCATAGGTGGAGAATGTGCTTAAGAATCCACTATGATGGAAAACATTTCATTCTCAAAAAAAAAAAAATTTTATTTTTCTTCTTCCTGTTATTGGTAGTTCTGAACTAAATTTTTTTTTCCCCATGGGGTCAAAAGGTACCTAAGGGGAACCAGCAGTTAGCGTAATGGCTATGTCGCTGGACTCCCACGTAGTCCACCGCGGTTTGCGTCCCGGACCCGGTGGCTTAGAACTCACGCCGGGTGTGTGTGCGTGCGTGCCCAAGATCCTGAGAGGAGAATGGAGGAGAAGGGATTGTGGCGTGGCCATCCCCCCTGGGGGGTGATTTCTCGTTTTCTGTCTCTCTGTCTCTCTCTGTCTGTCTAGCAAGCGCAGGCGCCCTATAGCGAAAAAAACCTCTCCAAAAAAAATGGTACCTAAGTATATGATTGCAAATGGAAAATAGGGGACAGAAATTGGGTATTGGCAGTTTTTCCATTTTCACTTGTGTGTGGATTTTTTTTTTTTTTTGAGAGATTTTCACTGTAGGGCGCGTGCGCTCGCCAGACAGACAGAGAGAGACATAGAGACAGAAAGCGAGAAATCACCCCCCAGGGGGGATGGCCACGCCACAATCCCTTCTCCTCCATTCTCCTCTCAGGATCTTGGGCACGCAC